TATGAAAGAAGGTTACTGCATGCGACAAGACAGCGTAACAGGTATTTTGACGCAAGAGATAAAACGAGAAGTTGGTAATACTGACTGGAGTATGATGGTGAACAACAGACGTGTTGCTGATAAGCTTCTTGAGTGCTCGAAACGGGCCAGGTAAGCTGGACCCCGACTGCCGGTCTGAAGGATCTCTGCAGCTTTGAAAATGCTTCAAAAAAGAAGAGAAACACGAAAAGGAATAAAGCTCAAGCTTAGAGAATCCCCTTCTATAAGGGTAGTTTGGTGTAGACTGAAGGAAGAACTCGAGAATTTCATCCGTTAACGGAAGGCAGAGACGATGCTTGAAGAAGCACAAGAGAAGCTGTCGCCGTACAAACTCGCAAAATCCGCGCTGAAGAATGAAAACGGGCATCAGGCAACTGACCGAACAGTGATGGAGAGCAGTGTTTTACACCGTTCTGTTTGCGTTATGTGCAGTTATGCCAGCATATGTAATTCGCACTTATCAACCGCAAATCTTTGCAGTAATTGTCATAAAGAGACGATAGACGACTCTGCAAATGCAGGCTACAAACAGTGAATGTATCAACACCGAACACACTAGATCGGGACGGCACGAACTTCTCGGAGCTCTTACCATTTGATTCAGTCGGTATCTGGTGGAAAGAAAGGAATCTAGCAGTTGCAAAAAAAAAAAAATTTCAGTTGCAAAAAAGGCGCAAAAGAAGATTTGAAGTACTACTGGTGTTCAATAAAAATATTTTCATTGTTCATTAGCACGAAACAAGTAACAGTGCTTCTCGGTGAACTGCAGTTGAAGGAGCAAGTTGGTTTCTGAAGTAATCACACTGTACTGGGTTATCGGCTTAAATCAATTGCTGAAATGCGCAAAGGAGTATCAGCTCCATCACGGTCTCCTAGTCGTCGATTACAAAAAAGCATTTGACAGCGTCCATCATCCACTTCATCTTCAAGAACTGTGCCGTGTGACGAACCCTTGTATTAAAGGGATGACGGGCGCATGTTTGGAAATAAGCAAGCAAACGTAGACAGTTCGGTATTAACGCATTCTTCTAATAATGATCAAGCGGAGCGTAAGATAAGGTGATCCTCTGTCGCTCGCACATCTTACGACTTTCCTCAAAATGATGCATTGGAATTTAGTTATGGAAGGTTCATTTGGTAAGCAAAGATGAGCAGATTAAATTATCTATCTTCACAGATAACAAAGTTTTTATTGCACAAGGTAAATGAGATGCTACAGGAGCCCAGCACACGCAGTAAGGAAGTAGATGTCGGTACGCGTGTGAAAACGTGAATAGACGGTCTTTACTTGGAAAAAGTTGACAGTTACATTTGTGTTGTACAGCAAGTAAATTTGCTGAAAATCTCCAGCCGGAAATTACGTATCGAAGGTGTCGCTGGTATTTCACACTAGTATTTCGCAGCATCGCTAGTTCAAAGAATCATTCCAAGAAGAATATGTCCAATTCTTTGCTACCAACGTGCTGAGCGCTGTGACTTACGGAAGCGAAATGTGAACGCTGATGAAAGTTGAAGAACGAGCGCTGGTTAAAGCGACAAAGTATAAGATAATTGGCATGACTCTCCGTGATCGTATAAGCATTCAAACTCTCCACTAGATGAGCATATCATTTCAAGCATGTGAGAAAATAAAATCTGATGGGCAAGCGACGACTGGTGAGCTACACGCATCCTGTGAGTGGTAATCGCAGGAAAAAGTGGCACACATAAATTAAGCAGGTAGCGGATACTTACTGCACGTATGCAGCCCGAAGAGCCTATTACAGCTGTGCCTGGGGTGCGGGAGCATCCCAGTATCATTTCCAGCATGGGATAATAATACTCGGTAACTCCGGCTTGAAATTACATCTAAAATTATGTGCCTTTGTCTAAAGTTATGCATACTCATGTTATTAATTTGGCTTTAAAGGGAACGAAATAAAGGGATAAAGGTGGCTGACGACTCAATCATCGAACAACTGAATAAACAGGATGACTGGGTGGAATCTGTAATGGTGAACAATAAGATTTGGTAAGTCCCATTAATTTTGTGATAGTAACTAGGCTTTTTTTTTATGCGTTTTAGTGTTTTTTATGCGTTTTTGCATATATGCAAATTGCAAAAACGAATATGCAGCGATCGTGTCTGTGCGTGTGTGTATGTTCGCGTATATGTATGTGTTCGTCTGTTCGGGTACTTCAACTCGGCAACCAAGCAAGTTCCGGCGCTAAAATTTTGCCAGTTGGTTCCCTGGCCAAATGCCACACAAGATCACGGTGTCATCCCCCACGCGTGTCTGAGGCCTGCGTGCGAGCGTGTGAAAGTTTCAGCAGGAAAATCGCTAGCTCGGGTATGGGGAAAGCTAAAAGGCTGAAATTTCAAGGGAATATTCCTTACTCATGTGCAACTAAAAGATTTCAAATTCAACTCTTCTAGTGGGGTCTTTTTTGCGTTCCAGCAGTCTTTTACTTTTCGGGTCACTGAAGCCGGCATCTACATCTGACGTGCCACGCACCCACAA